TCAGTCCTTGTTACATTTGAATGTTGTTGTTTTTTTAAATTTTCCATCTTTGATGAAAATTAATCATTAAAATATTTCATGATTGCTTTAAATATTGTATGTTTGAACTAAAGTCAATTGTTTGTATCTCATATCCTTCATTTATTCATTTGGGGCAGTGGGGTAGCCTAGTGGTTAAAGTGTTCGCCTGTCATGCCAAAGGCCCAAAGGGTTCGATTCCCCACTTGGGTACAATGTGTGTGTGAAGCCCATTTCTGGTGTCCCCTGCCGTGATGTTGCTGAAATATTGCTAAATGCTGCGAAAAACCATATTCACTCACTCACTCATTTATTCATTTATTGTGTCCAGTGACTGCATTGTATATACATTGTATTTGGGTACAGTATGAATTTTGACATGTTTAAGTTGGTTGATGGAGCAATCAATATTCCATTTAACATGTCCATTTGTTCAGTTCACTCATGACTGTTCCATTAAGTATGTTACTGAAAATAACTAAAGCACAACCACATCTTTCATGTTACCAAAGTAATATCATGGCAGGACAGATTAACCTCAGTCATGTGATCTGATATGTCTTTGAGTAGTTTTTGTAAGTGCCTTAATCAATAAAAGATTATGTGTAATAGTTTTCTTGACAAAGGAGGGGTGTTGTGGTAGCCGAGTAGTTCAAGTGATTACTCATTGTAACAGACACCCGGTACCAAATAGACGTTAAAATATGGTACTTGTTGGTCCCTGCCTGGCGCTCGGCATTAATGGGTACAACAAGGACTGGTCGGCTCGGAGTCAGTATAATGTGTCGAAGTGGGGTATTCATGCTTCACTGCGGCATGGTATCTCAGTGGGCTAGCACTATAAAACCAGCTTCGGTCTGGGCTAGTACAAGCAGCCGCACATACACATACACACGCATGCACGTCGTCATATGAGCGAAATATTCTCCAGCGCGATGTTAAACCCAATTTCACCTCACCAGACACCCGGTTCAATTCCCCTCATTGGTGGGGTGGTTGGGTAACCTAGCAGTTAATGGATTGTCTCGTCACGGCGAAGACCTGGGTTTGATTCCCCACATGGGTACAATTTCTGGTGTCACCCCGGCGTGATATTCCTGGAATTGCTCTTCAGATTGTATCACATTTTGCTGTCCTTGGCTTGTTCAAAGTTTTAGTTTACATATTTGGAAAAAGGAACTGTCATCCCACACAATAATAAAAGGCCAGTCCCTCAGTAAGTGGTTAAAGTTGTCCTGGAATATTGCTAAAAGCGGCGTAAAACCCAGCCCACCCACTGACCTCCTTGGTACAATGTGTGAGGTCTGTTTCTTGTGTCACCCAACTTGATATTGCTGGAATATTGCTAAAAGCAAAAAGCAAGTTCTAGAAACTTGTGTGTTAGTGATCTGGATGCTGTGGTAGGCCTGACTTGGACCTGACCAAGGGATAGGACATCTCTGTGGAATGATGTTGACATGGGTATGCTTATCACAGTGCAAACACCAATCTCCAGGCTGGAAGAGACCAAGGGGAATGTGTCATGGTGTAACTGAAGCACGGATAGAATTTAATGACGACATTTCTGAATCTCCATCTGAAAGCCTTGAGCGCAGTATCTCTCTGTCTGGATCAAGAGCTTAGGTTGTTGCATGTCTAATAATACTAATTTTGGGGCAGGGTGTCAATTATTGCACTTGGGCAACAGAAATCAAATTATTAATATTAACGTCAATCATAATAATAATTATAATAGCAGTGCCACTGAAATTGCATTAGCTCAAAGTACTAAATTATTGTTAATGGATTAGTGTGAAGAATTATTTCATTCTCAGCTTCCTGTGGAGTATACATCCCAAGCTCCAGTAAGGTACTTAATAGGTGCTTCACAGTCTCATTCTAACAGGTACCGATTTCCAGCTAGGTGGTTCAATGGATTTGTCATTATTTTGCATTGAACCAGTTAACATACTTTACCTTGGTGACACTGACATAAGTTCAACTGTATATAACTACTGTGAAACCCTCTCAATACAAACACCTTGCCTTCTGGACAGATGGTGACGTGCAGATATAAAAAGTTATAAAATTGGCTGATTTCAGATGAAATGTACCATCTCGATAATTATGATTGCTTTGTAAATTGGACAGTATTCTGAAATTTAATATGCGGTTTTTATTTCAGTGCATGTGCCACCCGCATACAGCTGGTGTTTTAACTGTGCATTTGTCTGCTCCATGCCCTTGTTCTTCGTATCATGGATACCTGTAATTAAGGCTTAAGATGAACACCTGTAATTAAATATGTGGTTTTTTTAACTGTGCATTTGTCTGCTCCATGCTCTTGTTCTTCATATCATGGATACCTGTAATTAAGGCTTAAGATGAACACCTGTAATTAAATATGTGGTTTTTATTTCAGTGCATGTGCCACCCGCATACAGCTGGTGTTTTAACTGTGCATTTTTCTGCTCCATGCTCTTGTTCTTCGTATCATGGATACCTGTAATTAAGGCTTAAGATGAACACCTGTAATTAAGGTACAGGCATTCCCTTTGGTCAGGCCAAATCTAATAATCATGGGCTTTGAATGCCAGATTCACAATGATTATGAATTTACATATGTCGTACCTATTTTGGATGGATTTTAACAGGTGATAATTGTTTTACACTTGCACCACTTGGAGTTTTCTTCTGAAATCTAGCTGACACACCATGAAATACTGAAATGCTGTTTAAGCTAGTGTAAGCTCCCCATCAGCTCCCCCCTGATCTACACCACTATCCCCCAATCAACACCACTACCCCCGATCAACACCACCAAACTATGCTACCACCTTGTGACCTAAACCATCACACTTTATCTGCACCAGCTGCTGCCAACAGAGTTCACTTCTTTAATCATTTTTGCTGTGTAAAAGTACAGATGCTGGTACCTTCTTTATCAAGTAATTAGCAGCACCTGTACAAATTGCTGCACAGAAAGAATAAAGCAACTGAGTCGGCTCTGTCTTCACCGACGCATCTTCTAAAGCTGCCTCTTAAAGATATACCATCCGCTTCTGTAAAGATGGCCTGGGTTGAAGGCATGGGTAACTCAAAGTGACTATTTTTTGTGTAGAGTTGCTTCCCTTGGCATTGCCAGGATTTGCAGGTTTTAATTCTGATCCTTGATAATGATCCCTAGTTCTGTCAGTACCATGTACCCATGCTGGATTCCACAAACTCTTTGGGAATTCTTCTGTGATTACTCTTGCATAAAGCTAACTAAAATTATATTTCAGTTCAAAGCGAAGTTAATATTCAAACTCTCTTCAACATGGTGGGTGATTTATGTGCTGCACTATGTTAGCAGTCATTCAGAATGGTTCTAATGGAATGGGAATAGCATGTCTCTTTGATAGCTGTGACCTCTTTCACGAAATCGAAGGGAATACATTGTTGAAGTGGAAAGAAGGTTCATGAAATATTGATGAATTCTGTTTGCAATGAGTGTGTATACTTACATTCAGTCATGAGCTCTTGCAGCTCCTGTGTAGGGGGATGACAGATTAATGGCGGGAATATATCAGCAAGGCAGTTGCCCGTCTGGGTATTCAAATGATCGGCAGAAATAGTGCATCTGCCTTATAAATCAGTCCTGTATATATCAAACATGCTTTGTCCATTTCATAATCAACATCAAGCTGTGCCCAAAAGCGTTACTCCTGTAGTTGCATATCATAACTGTAGCTGAAACATAAATGCATATGAAACGATCTAAAAAACTTAATTCATTTGCAAAGCAAAGGCCCAGTGTAATTCCATCTGTGATTTGAGATGAAATATATATTCATAGTTATTTATAACATTTGTGTAATAGGTATTCATAAAACAGTGAAAACCTGTAAGTATTGACAAGATCATGCCATTTATATCACCCTGACTAACTAATTTCCTGATCAACCAGTCATAGTTCCAGTGTAAAGTTACTAATGTATACATGTCACTGTTTTAAACAGTAATCGTTATGAAGGTTGTTTGCAGACAAATGATTTTGATGTAGGAATTTGTTTGGCTGTGTCCAAGAGAACCTAAATTGGCAGACATCATGGCCTAAATAGATCAAGTGGGAGGTTCAGTGATTTGGATCTGTGTAGTATGTCAGTGTACCCTGGAAGGAGAAATCAATGCTAACTTGTGGTGGTTGAGGTACAGAAGCTCACTTTATTCTGTGATACCCATCTTGAGTTGTGATGATGTGCTATAATGAGTCAATATGTTTTTATTGATATGTTTTCAAGTATGTGGGACCTTTTAGTTTTTAGCTTTGATCAAAAGTCAGTTGAGCTACTGTCATGACCCTTTTGTCTGGCATCTGGCATCGACAATTGCATCAGAGTCAGCCTCGTTTGTAAACATCTTCCCCATAGAAGTGACAAGTGAAGATAAGCCTTCACATACTTTCTTCCCAGTATGATGACACCCAATGTTTCGTTCAAGTAGCAGTTATATAAAGAAGGCTATTTCAAGGCAAACCAGAGCTTGTTTTGTTCAAAGTGTAAAGAAATCTGTTATGTTTTACAGTGAGAGTGGGTGTCTGGGCTTGATTTTGACCTTTGTCACCATGCTGAAATATTGACTCAAAATGTATTGTTTTTGGCAGTATCATATTCAGAAACCATTGAGCTTTTGAACTAAAAACTTCACATGCTTGTTACCACGGAGTGATAACACCAAATGGTTTTAAGGTGCCACCATCATTTCCGCAGTAGTAAATATCTATTAATGGTTTTTGCACAGCCATAATCGTGGTGTATAAATATGTTCAGTTTTATGCTTTGTGTTATGTTTTCACCTTGATTTGACCTTTGTCCAAGCTCTAAATTCTCTCAAAACCCCAAACCACTGGACCAATGAAGCTGGAACTTCATGGTTCTTCCCACTAGTGGTGTCACCAAAATTTGTTGGAGGGTTTCAATCTTCTGCTGATGTCGCAGCTAATGTGTCTGTCTCTATTTCAGTTTCACCTATATCCCAAGTGCTGATGTCGCAGCCTACCAGGAAACTCTGACCAATCGCAGCCTTGAGTGCAGCCCTTCTCATAAGCCCAGTATGCCATCGCCAAGGTAATGCATTCTCATCTCACTGGTCAAAACAACCTAGTCACTGTATTTCAAGTCCTTGTATTGAAAGCACAACATTTAGGCAGCAAGAGTTCTTCAAGTAGGATACTGACATTTGACCTTCGTATGTCAGGAACTTGACAAGCCCAAGTGGTAGACTGCACACTCTGCTCTGGAAGTCCTCAGTTAGGTATTCAGGACACGACCCAAACTGTATTCTGTTACTGTGGATGTTTCTGTTAACTTTGTCAGTGCAGGTTTTTTCAGTAACTTAATTATCAGTCTCTGCAATATAGTCCAAGGCAAAAATAGGAGAAAAGTACACTGAGGTATGGGTCAATTAAAAAACCTACGTAAATTAAGTAAAGTTAGAATTCTTGAAAAAAAACCCTGTCTGATAAACTTTTTAAAAATATGCAAAACCTTGATAAGGGATTTGAGATAAGCATACTTTCAATCAAAGACGGTTTGATGGGTTTTTCTCTTTCTTTTTTAACCTGTGCAGTGCACAGAACAGGATCACCTTGAGGACAAAGAAAAACACTAGCCAGACTTAAAAAGAAACTAGATAATAATCACATGCAGTCAGGTGATGTGCTGGCATGTATTTTATGTGCCTCAGTGGATCCTGGTCGTCCTAGGGATGGGACAGACCATTCATTACACTCCAGGGCCATGACGTAATAGTCTGGACCATGTGGAAGATCAACAATCACTACAACTTGAGCCTCACAGGAAACACAAGCATTTATTTCTATTGTACATCTATCACACAAAAGACTAGATGCAGACATTTCTTTATGTATCCCAATGGATGAACAGACTATTGTGTTTATTAAGTTCAGTGAGTGTTTGTGGCTAGATGTGTCATTAAAAGTTGTGATATACCACTCAAAAGAAATTGAAAATCATGTCCAAATGTGTCATTAAAGTTATTGTATAGTACTCAAAAGAAGCCCCATGGGGATTGAAGGTTACAATAGATACCCAGCAACCTAACGGTAAACATGGCCTACCTGGTTAATGAAGTGTCATCATACCCCATCAGTGTGGTCAGTTGTTCATCATATCAATCTCTGGTTGATCTCATCCCAACAACCCATGAAGATCCGGGTTAGAATTGATCTTCAGTAACCCATGCTTGTCGTAAGAGGTGACTGACGGGATCAGGTGGTCAGGCTCGCTGACTTGGTTGACATGTCATCGTATCCCAATTTGATCGATGCTCATGCTGTTGATCACAGGATTGTCTGGTCCAGATTCGATTATTTACAAAAAAGCCGCCATACAGCTGGAATATTGCTGAGTGCAGCGTAAAACTAAACTCACTCACTCACTCATCCCAACTGGATTATTGAAAGTTGCTATCATATGGTGTGAATATTGCTTGGTGTTGAGTTACATAGCAAGGGTAAAACATTTCCTTTATTCAGTAGAGAAAAGTAGCATTGTTTCAATAATATGAAGCATCAGGACATCTAATGAACATTTTCATCACATGACAGTAAGTATATCACTGGCCTTAAATAGGACTTAAGTAAAATGTAGCTTTTATATTGTTACTATTTTGTAGAACTCTGCAGCTTTATATGATATAGATAATATGGTTTTCAACCAAATCTCTATTTATTCATTAGATGTATGCAACAATAATAAATTACTGTTCAAACTGTTACAACAGGGAGGACCTGAAAACCTTCTCAGAATCACTAATTTATCTGTGGTATCGCAGTAGAAACTATGAATACTTGAGTATTTAACACTATTTTGAGGGTATTACTATTACATTTTTGCAAAGACAAAAGTGGCAGATCAAACTCAGGAGTTTAATAATTTTCCAAAACAAGGTATAATTAATCTTAGACTATTGAAATATTCAAATAGATTCCAATTAAGTACTTAAACTGCATGCTGAATATTTATTTTCAATGTAATTTTATCATATTTAGAGTTATATAAACCAAAGAATAAGAATGTGTGGCTTATCTGCTGACCGTGTAGTGACAGCTGCATGCTTGAATGGTTTGTTGATAAGTAGTGAGGACAGTAGTGCATGGTAGTGTTAAAGAAGTTGTCCACTTGCAGGCGGCAGCTTCTGGAGAAACGTGTCAGCGACGCAAGACGTATGAACAGGTTCCGTACTTCTGTACGTCTGTTCCTTTCTGTCCATCTAGCTCTGATCCTTTACTGTACAGCATGACCGTTCTGTCAGACAGACAATCTGAACACTTCAACATTTCAGTTCTTGCATCACGTCTCACCTCTTTGTTGGTTTTGTGTCTGGATGAGACAGTTGAAAACAACTGGTTTACTTTATGTATGATGGCTATAAATACCGCTTGCTGGAATTGGTTGTCATTTCTTATCATTTTGAAGTTTTCCTGTTCTCAGGAAAGAAGCAATGCATCATGAATTTAACTGTTTAAATTTTGTATTTTTACTATTAATCTTTGCATATGTGTTCACAGTTGTGAATTCTTGTATGTGGACTTGTCGCTTGCAATCCAGGTTCGATGGGAATATTACATTGTTAAATCATTAGAATAATTTGCCGGAAATCTTAGCCTTAAAACATGTATGATGAAAGTGGCAGTGTTGTCGGGCATGCAAGTCAGTAGTTAATGGTAACCATAGCAGGGTGAAGAATAGCTTTGATTCCTATTCCCAAAGGTAAAATCATTCAAATTTGAAGGTTGTGTGTCCAATTGAACTAACGATGCAGAAAAATGGAAATGTCTTCATCGTGTTTCCAGCAGAGACCTGGTTTGTTTGATTTTGTTCCCAATGCAGTAATTTCCTTCAAGAAATAAAGTTCATGAAAGCCATGAGAAAATTTGATATCGATCTCATTACAACGTTTTACTGTGGGCAGAGCTATGTTGCATTTTACACAAGAACTACGTCCAGATCAATTACTTTTGCTGCTTGAATCTGCAATGTTGCATATTATGAACCTGTTGCGCATGTGAACTGGAATTGTGCAAGATCAGCAGTTTGGCTATTACACAATGGATGCTCAGATGACCTTACTGAATAATTCAGAGTTCTATTGTTTTAGTTATAAAACATAATTTGTGGAGCAGTTTCAAACTTTGACATAAAAAGATATTATTGTTGTTCATTATCGGAGAGGAAATATTTTTCACGTTTTAAATGTGACAGCTCATATTTGCATGGCATATGGGTTAGAGTTGAAGCTATGTGGATATCTTAATTGTTTTCGGTTTTGGTCAGCAATGGTCATTGACCTTATAATTCATTCAAGACTGGGCAAGTAAAATACAAGCAATAGTTAATTTAAACTTATTTGTCAAGATTGTAATAAAATAAGAGCAGTTTTGCAATAAAATGATAAAACAAATAGTTTTTGTCAAATTGATGTATTTTTATCAGCGCTGTCAAATCATCCTTTTGTCAAGAAGATTGTGTCCAAGTCTGCTTTCTTGACTTCCTGGGGTCTTGACCAGAACAGAAGTATCTTTGGTGCTCAAAGCTGATCTGAGATAAATTGAATTAGAAAACGGTTTCAGAGTAAAGATATTTTTGTTCTTCAGTGCAACATTATCATCTTCACCTAGGAGGACCCTATCAGCGGTCAGCCCGCCATCTTCCCCATCTCCAGCCCCTGCCTCTCCAGCCGAGGTGGTCCCAGTCCAGCTGTCTACGGTCCAGCAGATGTCACCCCGACAGAAGTCCCTGGCATCTGACGGGTCCCCAGCAGCTGGCAACCACGCCTGGGGACCAGCCCGCACTGTTGAGCTCGTCCGGGAACCTGGCAGAAGTCTCGGCATCAGTATTGTTGGTGAGTAGAATCAGTTGTGTGGAATGTTGCTTGTATTGCATCTGCTAGAGAATGATTCAGATCGTAGCACTATATTTTGGTCATTTTCATTGAAGTTTGAACTTCTTTGTCTTGATTTGACAATTTGTTCTGTATTTCCCTTTAATTTTATTTTATCACAAGATATGGTAAGCTGTTGTTTCCAGTCGTCAGTTCTTCATTATTATTCAATGTTCCAGTTCCTATACAGCTTAGATGCATTATATAAAAGTTGCAGCCTCTTGGAATCATAATGATATCCAGTAGGAAATATTAGATCCACCTTAATATGAAATGACGAAGCGCAATTTTTAGTAAAATTTTGATGAAAGGTGTTGTAAAGAACTTGTCAACACAGTAACAAGTCTATGACTACTGGATGCAACAGCATGTGCTTTATGAAACTGTTTTCCACATGACAATATACAACTAATTATTCCATACTTTATTTGACACATTAGACAAATGGTACCGAAATGAACATTCCGACGACCCAAATAATGGAGGTGAAGATGGTATGTTAGATGGTGCATACTTATATCTGACGTGTCCCAACTTGTGTCTCCTTGGTTGTAGATTGAGCTTATATGTGTGATATGTGACTCTCTCCTCTCACTTACCCCATCACACGATCACAGATCTTGTTTGTATGTAATGTTGATACAGACTGTTGAGCCAAACTGGATGAAATATTCTTTATAAAAATAAGTAAACTTTTTTTATACTTAATTTATTTAACTTATATTCCTATGAAGGTGCATGTTTGAAGTGAGATTATTATTAATAAAAAAAAAAATTAAATAATATTTCAGATGAATTTGTCTAAAAATTGATGGATTTCTAAGTTTTTTTATATTTTTTGAAACTTTCATCTGAAGTAACAGAAGGTCGAAAAGTCATAAATATTGATGCTGTATTAAAGCATTAAGTGTCTTCTTGTTTAAGGGTAATATGGTGCATTTGTGTTTGAAGTCAGGGGAAGTCTGTATGGCAGTTTGTCTCATGTATTTGAACTGACGATCTGTGTTAGCAACATACAAATTTGAACTGTTATGATTCTAACCAATTTCAACACATTACACTCTAGTGAATAGTGGCTTAATCTCAGTGTAGAATAGATATTACGTCTTTTATTGTCAATTAGAAGTTTAAAGAACATGAAGTCTTGAAGCTTTCTTGTATAATGACTTCTTTATTGTTACATTGTGTGCTACAGGTTCATTGGGTGAATATAACATGCCTTGGTATCAATAAATGTCACTACAAGTGGAAAGGATTTTATTGTCCAGAAATGTTTAGTGTTTTAACGGAACAGATAACAGAAGTTGTTACATTTCATTAATATTTCACATTGTAGCAAGGCTGGGGATATGTACTACTCAAAACTTGTTAAGGATCACCAAAATCTTTTGTATTACTGTAAACTGTCATGACCTGGCAGATTAACTGTAGGAATATGAAGGAATCAGTTGTTTCTTTACTTGATTTTGTGGTATTGATTGTGTCTGGCAACAGCTCAAGCACATGTTCATATAGATTCATCATGACCCTTCATCACATTAAGGAAGTAAGGTGATTGGAATTCAGAATTATGTTATCAATCTAATCATTGTCTTGTTTATAACGGGGGTTGGTTGTGTTTTTTTAAAGATTCATATGCCTGCTGTAGGTTGACATCATGTTAAAAAAAGTCTCATTCTGTTACTTCGTGGATGAAAGAATCCAGATTTGGCAGTTTATTTAGACAATCTTGTCTTATTGCCAAGTTGTCGTTTTGTGTTTAATTGGGATATTTTAGGATGTGTTTTTTTTCTAGGTGTCTGTGAAAGCTGACTTATTAGTTGATTTATCAGTTCTTGTGTACAGGTTTATGACAAATACAACCATAGAATCTCTAAATGTACACTATACACCCAACCCCGCAAACAGCAACAAGTACCCAGGTCCCAGCACTGGTCCACGAGACCCTCAGTATTCATTCCCTAAATATCGGCATCAGTTCCAAGGTGTCTTAAACAACTGCTCCATCCCGCCCTTCAACACGGACACCATACTAGCAATAGTGGAACTGTAGCCCAAATCCCAGATCCAGTTCTCACTTCTATTAATCAATCCCTTCACCAAATCAGCTTCATTTTGTTCCCCTAAAGTGGAGGTCATCATGTTCCAATCAACGTGTTTGCATGATAGAATGAAACCTTGCGATGACCAGTGTGTTGCCTACTGCTGTGGCACAGCCCCACCAATAATAAATGTATGTGGAGATGCTTCACACTGTCCTCCCATGGAATAGGGTGGTTGTCCCCATGTAGACCTTACCTCAAGTCCTTCCATATTGAAATATTCCCAAGGCACAAAATACATTTGTATTTACATGGGGCTATTTATTGCGGCCACCCGGGGAACTCCAAGCTTTTGATTGTAGGGTCCCAGGTGAATTTTTTATGTTAAGTTTCCCATGTAAATGTCAAGAACAGAATACAGTACTCAGTGACATGTAACATAAACCTGAACATGTTCCAGCGTTTAATAATAGATATGGAATCCTCTTCTAGAACAATTCCTCCAGTTTGAACAAACCCAAGAAGATCATGAATAATTTGACGATTTTTTGTTTAAATGATGATGTATAGATTATACATTTAAGTATAAATTATAAAATGGTAGGATCCATTCCTTTGCATAGGATTGGATTTTCTGGATCTTTGGCAATCCATTGTCTATATTTTGCACCCATTTTTTCAAATATGAGTGTGAGAATAAATCCCTGACCACATTGTGAACCATACAGTGGAAGATGGATGGACACTTAAGTATCACATGTCAACTAGAGAGAAGGAGCCTGGTAGCCTTGACTGAAACTCCTCACAGTTGACAATTGCGCAGATCGATGCTCATGCTGTTGATCACTGGATTGTCTGGTCCAGACTCGATTATTTATAGGCCGCCACCAGATAGCTGGAATATTGCTGAGTGCGGCGTAAAACTAAACTCACTCACTCACTCCTCACAGTTGTATCCCTCCAACATATACTGGCGGATGGTTGTTACCTGGTATCCCAGAGTTGCCCTGTTTGTGATTCTTCATCTGATACAGCACAGTAGTGTTGGGTTTTATTGTCAAACTGGTCAACATCTACTGCTGACACGTCAGGCTCTCCTTCCACATCAACCTGACACACTTTGATGTTACTGAAATACGCTTGAAATCCTTGTTAATACCCGACTCACCAACTCAAATCCTGTTAGTGTCAGACTGTGGATTGTATTCAGTGGGTGTTTTCATCTGGCAGGGTTTTCGATATGATGCTTTGATGTGTGCGGTGCTGCACTCATGCCAGGAGAGATGTTTGGGAGGAGGATTAGATTTATAGTGTCACATGTGACTTGATGTCATCACACACCAAGGTTGTGGATGGTTGCTCATTAAATCAACCACTGTATGGCCTGGACTGAATTATGTGTGGGGGGATTCTGGATTAGAGCAGGTCCCTAGCAATCTATGCTTGTCATACAAGGTGACTAAATAGATCTGGCTCCCGATCCACAAAACCACAAAGCGTTCATAACCCTGCCACCTGTCCTAACTCTATAATGTACCATAGGCTAATGTTGTAGCGCTACAAACGTTTTGTGGATGGGGACCTAGGTGCTATGCTTGTCATACAATCACACAAGGTCCATTCTGTGTCATCTTCCCCTGAGACCCGTGAAGATCCGGGTTAGAATTGATCTTCAGTAACCCATGCTTGTCGTAAGAGGCAACAAACAGGATCAAGGTGTCAGGCTCGCTGGCTTGGTTGACACATGTCATCAGTTCCCAATTGTGCAGATCTATGCTCATGCTGTTGATCACTGGATTGTCTGGTCAGATTCAGTTATTTACACACCGGCGCCATATGGGTGGAATATTGCTGAGTGTGGCGGAAAACTAAACTCACTCACTCATTTTCCCCCTGATTGTTTGGGATGCTGCTCCTCCATAACTGGTTTATCTGCTTTTTGACATTCTGCCGTCAAGTGGCTGGAATATTGCTGGTCGCAGTCTTACACAACATACAATACAGACAAAATACTTATTAACGGTTGTGATATTACTGGCATATTTCTGACTGGAGTATAAGAAACACCATCAACTCACTCAGCAAATATGAGATATTATCACAGTCGTACTTGAGCATCATGAACGTGGCATCGTGTAGGCACCGATCAATGCCGTAGTTATCCTATAGATGTCCTTGCCAATGACCCAGTTAACAAATCTGTGATACATATATAAAACCAGCTATTCCAGTTATCTTGATCTCCTGTGACCAGCAGCCCGATCCTTCAGTGTATCTCAATGAGCTATTGATTCGGGAAAACTCCTCTGAAGTAAATTGCTAATTGATAACCACACCCACCATCATTTGGCCTTGATGTGAACACAATGAGAAGAGTTTGCTATCTATTGTTTAGTCATTAGGGAAAGGGGATATTCATATCTCCTTTACTTCAATAATGTGTGCAACAAGATTAGAGTAAGGTCTTTAGTGGTGGGTTCGGTTGAACTAAAAGTGCTGGCTTTGATTATACTGAAGAATCATGTTATATCACCAGGGTTTGGAGGACGTTTAATCAATACCTCCACAAGAAGGCCTTGGAATGCATTGCAGAAAGATCTTGTCACTTCACAAAATCTTACCGCTGAACATGAGCACAATTTTGTACTTTATTCTCTGGGGCACTAGCCCTCATATGAGGACAGTTCCACCTTTCCTGCTGCTGGTCCCTTCAGGATTGTCCATCAGCATACTCCTGTCATCAGCATCAGTTGGAGGCATTTCCAATCAGGGTTCTGTCCTTAAGGATGTGGAGGCATCTACCACTGTCGATATCTGGCAACTACCTAGCATAGGCTCAGCATAGACCACAAACCCTTTCTGTACTTGCTGTCCTTAAGGGATGATAGGTGGTCCGGTAGCCTCAGTAGTAGGTTGTTTATACCAAGGTAGAGATTCAGTTTCTTGTATGGGGAATATCTGTAAAGGTTTTTCTTGGTAAAATGTCGCCAGATGTTAAGCATGTGCCCTTAGATCTGACACAGGCTGTGTGTATGACAACGCCTTATATCAGCCTGTAGTGATATCTGATTGTCCAGTTGTAACATATGATTACGCTTTCTTAGTAAAGTACAGATTCTTGTACTTTTGTTGGGTTGAGTACCATCTGGGATTTGAACCCCCACCCTCAGAGTCAGGCACCTAATCTCCAGCACACTGTTGTTCAGTTGTGCCTGTGTCAATGGGATCTTCATTCTTGAGACAACAGTATTCAGATGACAACATACAAGTACACAGTACATAGTCAATACTTAGACAACATATGTGTATCTTGTCAATACTTAGACAACATGTGTGTACCTTGTCAGTACTTAGACAACATATGTGTACCTTGTCAGTATGTACTCAATAGACAACATGTGTATCTCAAAACAGGTGTAAAAAGAACAAATATTGTTTTGTTTTTAGCTTCTAACTAATTGAGTTATTTATTTGTGCTAAATCTAATCAAGATGTGTCTGATTATTAAACTGAAACCACTGTAAAATATATTAGCTTCCTACTTAATAAAGGCAATCTGTGCTCAGATGTGTCTGAAAATTCATTGTCATTGTATCCAGTGAACTGTTTTGGTGTCAATGAAAGTTGGATAATAGTAGCAATACTTTTACAAACATAGTATACAAACACAGAGAGATAGGTTTTAGTGGGAAATGAGATTCTCAATATCTGTTGAACTTGGAAAAAATATTGAGTAATTGAAAACTGATATTTCAGGTTTTAGGGTCAAAATGGTGTAGCCACCTTTACAGTAGCTTCTTTTTGGAGTTTCAGTTCTGACTCGTATTAACATTGTTTCATTTATTTATTTTGAATTACTCTTTCTTCATGTAGATGGTCTTCCTGTCATAACCATTGGATTTTTCTGATCTTTTGTATTGGTGTGCTCGTCATTTACTTCTGATATGGAACTTCACATATCAAATGTATTCTAACATAATATGTGTATTATGCTGGAAAGGTTTAACAATTGACACTTTGTGTTGGGACTGATTCTGATGAAGCTACATGTATTCTGCAGTGTATGTATTTAGTGTTTACATGACTATCTGAATGTGGTGTATATTTCCCAAGGGGACGTGTGGACTTGTTTCACGTCTCAGAGGAACACACCATCACGGGAATCTTCATCAAACATGTCGTGGAGAACAGTCCTGCAGGCAGGAATGGTACTCTCAAAACAGGGGATCGCATTCTTGAGGTACGTACTTACAATGATGAGGGGATCATTGGCATATCAAGACCTATATAACACGATTCATTCCTTTGAGTGTTATTAAATATTTTCAGTAAAGATGGTACTTAATTCAGTGTAGAAAATCTACTGTGTTGTTGATACTTAGCTGTGTGGTTAAAGCATTGGCTTGTCATGCCAATGACCTAGGTTCAATTTGTCACATTGGTACAATCTGTGACACCCATTTCTGGTGTTCTCTGCCATGATATTGCTGGAATGTTGCTAAAAGTGGCGTAAAACCATAATTGCCGCTACGACTGTCATCTCCTTAACTGTAGTCCAGCTGACTCTTATTTGCCGAAGGTTTGTCCCAAGGTTCAACCCCTTCAAGAATCTCACTGTGGTCCAACAAGCTGCCTCTGCTTTTCAGAATCATCATGTGAATGTTTTCTTTTCAGGTGAATGGTGTTGATGTTCGGGATGCAACACATGACGAGGCTGTGGAGATTATTCGCAATGCAACCTCTCCTGTTACGTTTGTTGTCCAAAGTCTTTCAGATTCTGCGTGTGTAAGTACTCAGTGCTTTTTCCTTCAGTGTTCTAGAACCTCTGCTGTTACTTCATACAGTTAATAAACTTTCTTTTTTTAACTGCAGAATTTCATTGCTTTCGATTTTAGAATCAATACAAATATCGCTGCAGGGGTGCATCTAGGCTGCGGCATTGTGGGATACACGCAGTTGTGTGATAACTTCCTTCCATAAATTGAAACATCAGTGCACCAAATTTCACGCTGAGTTGAGTTGGCACACTTTGTTAACCTTCTGTGAGATATATTTTAAACAAACAGAATTGAATGAACATCAATTTAGTAATTATCATGTCAGTCATATACTGTGAAATGTATCTTGATTAAAACAATCATCATTGCTAATCATCATAATGTTGTGAAGTATCTATGGTCAAAGTTAAACGTTCCAATTGCTCTTTTGTAGTTTGTGAATGAACATGATCACATGACCGCGTATTCCTGGAGTGTTCAGATAATGAGGTTATAAACTTGTTAAAAATTACAAAACATGTTGGGCCTTGTTCACAAAGGTGTTGTCCCACTTTCTGAAATCAGGGGGCCAATTGGCCCAGTTTTGTGAAATGCTGGATGCATCACTGCAGCTGTCATTTGACACCAAAAAAATCATTGTTATGGAATCTAAAGAGACCAGAAATAGTATTGAAAGCTTTTCTCAAGATTGGTCAGATGAAATTTCTGACACAAATCTATCTCTCATCCTGCTTTTTAAAACACTCCTACTTCTGCAGCCATTTTGTCAGTCTTGCAGAATCCAATACTGACTCTGTGAGTCTATTTCCATGTAACAGATAAATTTGTCTTGATGTATATGAATGTGTGCAATGGGGCTTAAACCACCTGTTCCAGGTTGTGGAGAAAATCACTACAGCTACCAAGGTAATATTACACAGGGTGCTCAAGATAACTTACAGCCTGTATACTCTTGTACAAGTCCCTACTACTCTGTTTGAGTTGTACTTCATTTAGCTGCTAACATTTCTGTTGCATTTTAGCTTTTATCATAGGAGCATGTTTAGTCTTTAATCATTGGAATATGTTTAACCTTTCATTATCAAGGTGAATGTCAGGCCATTAATTGGTGTATGTTTTATCAGAAATTCTGCTGCTTGTGAGTGTTTCAAGTTAATGATGCAAATTTTTATCTGGGGAAAAAAGGACATCTTCTGATGATTTTAATGAATTAATATTCAGCACCTGCCACATCTAGTCCAGTGAAGCATGAGTGTATTAGGCTGTTAAGACTATTGAAGTTTTAAATGTTGTGCATCATTCTCTACAAGTAAGAATGTAACTGAACATGTGGAATATGTTGGCTTCTGAGCATGTCCTCTGGTGACTGCCTCAGTGGTCTGACGGACAGAGCATCTGCCTGGAGAGTGGAAGGATGGTGGTTTGATCCCCATATCATACAGAAACAGGTTTAAAGATGGTACCTGATGCTCAGCATTAAAGGGATAAACCAAAGACTGATTGTCTCGGAATCAGTGTAATGTGGAATATCCTGTACCGGTGTAAGTCCATATTGAACTGTTGAATGGCATCTCATTGGACAAGCACTAGAACACCGGTGTAAGTCCATATTGAACTGTTGAATGAATGGCATCTCATTGGACAAGCACTAGAACATTGAAGTATAAGTCCATATTGAACTGTTGAATGGCATCTCATTGGACAAGCACTAGAACACAAGTATAAGTCCATATTGAACTGTTGAATGGCATCTCATTGGACAGGCACTAGAACACTAGTATAAGTCCATATTGAACTGTTGAATGGCATCTCATTGGACAAGCACTAGAACACTAGTATAAGTCCATATTGAACTGTTGAATGGCATCTCATTGGACAGGCACTCTAGTCCATATTGAACTGTTGAATGGCATCTCATTGGACAAGCACTAGAACACTAGTATAAGTCCATATTGAACTGTTGAATGGCATCTCATTGGACAGGCACTAGAACACTGGTGAAAGTCCATATTGAACTGTTGAATGGCATCTCATTGGACAAGCACTAGAACACGATGTGTGAAGCCCAGTCTAGTGTGAATGGCATCTCATTGTTCACTCACTAGAACACCGTGTAAAGATTCCTATTGCCATATTGAAGCCCATTTCTAGTGTCCCCATGGCATCGTGATATTGCTTGAACATTGCTAAACACCGCATAAAACCATACACACTCACTCACTCTTGTGCTACAGATAATGAGTTGTCACTGAAGATCAAAGAAGCACATCAGTGTCATGTGAAGAAGTGATATTGCTTGAATACTTAAAGCGGGAACCATAAAGTAATCAAATTCAAGCAGTAGTTCTTCCGAATGAATCTCTGGGTCTGAGACTCTGAACATAGCAACAGAATGATTAGCTAAGCTTTCCAACTTCTAACATGTGTTGCACTGTATGACTATTTCAGAGAGTGTAGAGAAGCCAACTTAATTACTCACCTAAACTCGCATGAAGTTGTGGAAGCAATTAAATGGTGCTCTCTCAATAGTTCATGACAGTAAGCTAACTCTCCAGGGCTTGTACCCTTGGTGTTTCCGGTACAAGAAGTTCCCAATATCCCTTGTTGGTGGGCCTGAGAGGGTCTTATGCCTGCAGTTGCTTCTAAAGTGGATAAACCTTTGTAGAGGAAAGACAAGTTTCATTGACCAGTCTAGTGCTGTGTGATGGAACATTGTGTTCTGTGTTTATTAACATATTGGCTGCTGGTTTGCCAACAGTTAAAGCACTGCAACTATCATTAAACTGTTGTGTAGAGCAGGAATGTCAATATGGCTGCACTACAGTTTTACTCATAGATAGTTTTGTTGAAGAGGACCAAAGCCTTATTTATCAAACACATTTTTTTTAGAGATGTTCAGTCATATTCCCAGTAGGTTTGTAATGCTGTCATTTAGGGCAAGTAGTATCAGGCCTCAGTCTTTCTGCCAACATACTTTTAGATCTGGAATATATAGCTCATATATAAATATTAATTATTACAGTTTAACAACATTTTGTTTCTTTATGCATACATGATGTGAAACTTTAGAGACAATTGATGATATTTGACATGAGAGGTCTAGCCACAGCAGTTTCAGACACTCACTCTCTTCATTCACTGGACTTGTGGAAGGGTATGGGGACCATATTCTACACACTGACTTTACACAGAGCATTACTTTCTGTAGGGACTTGTAGAAGGGTATATGGGACCATATTCCATATACTGACTTTACACAGAGCATTACTTTCTGTAGGGACATGTAGAAGGATATATGCGACCATATTCCACACACTGATTTTACACAGCATTACTTTCTGTAGGGACTTGTAGAAGGATATATGGGACCACATTCCATATACTGACTTTACACAGAGCATTACTTTCTGTAGGGATTTGTAGAAGGGTATATGGGACCATATTCCTTATACTGACTTTACACAGAGAATTACTTTCTGTAGGGATTTGTAGAAGGGTATACAGGACCATATTCATTATACTGACTTTACACAGAGCATTACTTTCTGTAGGAATTTGTAGAAGGGTATACAGGACCATATTCCTTATACTGACTTTACACAGAGCATTACTTTCTGTAGGGATTTGTAGAAGGGTATACAGGACCATATTCCTTATACTGACTTTACACAGAGCATTACTTTCTGTAGGGATTTGTAGAAGGGTATACAGGACCATATTCCTTATACTGACTTTACACAGAGCATTACTTTCTGTAGGGATTTGTAGAAGGGTATACAGGACCATATTCCATATACTGACTTTATTTACACAGAGCAAATTTCATGTAGGGACTTGTAGAAGGGCATATAAGACCATATTGTATAAGCATTCTATTAACAGCTACACAGCATTACCTTGGTTAAGGAATGGTGTGAAGGAACATATTATAGAATATTAATGATTTTGAAAGCATAATTGAGTGCATGAACATGTTAGATAGTGAATAACATAAATCTGGGTCAGGTCTCGTCCACATAATGAGAATTTGACGTGCAATTTAAAAGTAATATTTAATGTGTTCAACTCTGGTAAAAGATGTCATTAAGTCTTCCTTTAACACCCATATGTCATATGTCATGCTTCGCATTTCGTCTCTCAAAACATGGAGAGTGATAACTGTAAATATTCATTCAAAGGACATCACAATTCTTATCTATATAAGAATATGGTTTCCAAAAATGTTATTTTAATGAAAATGTCACTTGCGCCTGTTGTGAGATAACCTGATGCCTTTATTCACCATGGTAAAATGTTCATGTATTGTGTTGTTGGTTTTTGGGTGGTTTGATGCTAGTAAGAGAATGGTCCATGTTAGACTGCACAGCTTGGTGATCAGGGAATATGTTGATCTAGCATTGCTAACATCAATTTCATCATAGAGCATATTTTTGCAGTTTTATCTTTAATGCTTTGACCAATTTTTTTCTCATTTCTTGTACTAATAGACTTTTTGTGAAAGCTATTAAATATTGTAGATGAATTTTAACACTCTGATACATAGTTGTACTAATCTTGTAATATTACATTCTCAAACAAACTATTCATTGTCAACTTGCACATTTAAATGCATGATCTGTTTTACAGCAACAACAAAATCTACATGGCAGAAAAGCCTCAGACTTGAACTCACATTTCTTTAGTTTAAGATCATTTCAGTCATATAGTGTCACTGTGGGTGGGACACCCAATATAGGAGGAACGGTAGGGTAGCCAGCTGGTTAAGGTGTTAGCTCAACATGACAATGGACTGGGTTTTATTCCCCACATGGGCACAATATGTGAAGCCCATTTCTGGTGTCCCCCACCATGATGTTGCTGGAATATTGCTAAAAGCAGCATAAAAACCCAACTCACTCACACCCAAATATTTGAAGGATGTAACAAGCAACACACCCAAAGACATGCTTACCATTTGGGCAAACACCTGGTGTCATCACTGATTTTCAGTGATCCATTTACATAATTTGGAATGTTGGTACCATAATGACTGTCTCACTGGAAGTCTGCCGCCATATAGCTGGAATATTGCTGAGTGCTGCGTAAAACTAAACTCACTCACTCACTCACTGGAACTCCAGCTGCTGCCATATAGCTGGAATATTGCTGAGTGCTGCGTAAAACTAAACTCACTCACTCACTCACTCACTGGAAGTCTGCTGCCATATAGCTGGAATATTGCTGAGTGCTGCGTAAAACTAAACTCACTCACTCACTCACTGGAAGTCTGCTGCCATATAGCTGGAATATTGCTGAGTGCTGCGTAAAACTAAACTCACTCACTCTCTCACTGGAAGTGAACTGAGTCCTTTGGACTTCTTACACAGTGAATACTATTTGTGCCCATGTGGGGAATTGAACCCAGGTCTTTGGCGTGACGAGCGAATGCTTTAACCCACCGAATGCATCGCCCCACCTTACCCTAGTCTGTTATAATTAATCCCAGGAAGAAGAATATGAACATTACGACTCAAACTTACTAAAATAAACATACTAAACTCAAGCATAACTGCCTGTCTAAAGATTTATTTACAGGCAGTTGATTCGCCATCAAAATCCCAGCATGATGAAATCTGTAGTTTCCAAATGTCTTTTACATCATCTAAATGGTAAAGCATAAAAAACATTGATTGACCTTCTGTCATTCTCCTTCTGACATTTGGCAAAATTTAGCCAATTTGCCGGAATGATACAACGGCAGTGACCTGTCAACATGTGTCGTGATAAGCAGCTCACTGCTCCAGTTATCTGCACTGGTGCCAATCCCAGGCAAGGTTTTCTCCCAGTTATGATAAATGCAACAAAACTAATAGCCTTGTCTATGATGTGACAGTAGAAGGCTCAGTGACACTGACTGTTGAAGAAATGATTAGGATAGGGGAAAGAATTATTAGGATTGTTTGCATGTTTCTTGGTTTACACGTTCCGGAGCCAAAGTTTGAGTTGCAAGGGATGAGGGCTTTGACTCTGTAAACATGAAGAACATGTACCCAACAATATGTTCATTTAAAAAGTTTAAAAGAAACAATTGCTATGGTTGGATGATACAGAAAATAAAGAATACTAATAGATAGATTTAAATATGCATATAGACATAATCATTTCAAATTAGCTAGTTACTATGTATTGAAGTTAAGGCCAGACCAATTTTATTTCTTGTTTTACAGATTTGTGTCCTCAGAAATCCTAAAGGCAGGAGGGGAAAAAAATGAAAATAAAAATCACCAGTCAAAGTAATATTCCTTTTAAATACTAAAAGTATTTTACTTTTGACAATTTATTAAGTGTATATGGTGGAAAGAACATCTAAAAATCTAAAAACATTTTTTAGCACATTTACATTTTTGGCCAATGGAAGTATTAAAAATTTATTTTTTGAGTGGGAAAATTATTTTTTTTTTTTCTTAATCTTGAAAAAATACGACTGGCGGATCCGTAAATCAATAAATAAAATTGGTCTGGTCTAATGTAGAATTTTCATGTTTTTAAAGTCAGGTTTTGTAAAAGATTTTAGTTTGTTATATATGGCTAATCAAATTTTGCAGATCACCAGTCATGGACTGTTGAATGTGGTCATTTCATCCTTGAAATGATGAACTCACTTTACTTGTCAGGCTACGTTTTGAGTGTTTCTGTTCTGTTTGTAGCCAGGTGATCTGGAGGCAGCGGAACTAAAATCTGTACAATCATTTGAAGAAGCCACTGCACAGTCCACAGCGCCTCTACAGGCAAAACCTAAGGACAGACTGGTGAGTTGAAAACTGGGAGAAGGAGCACTGAATGAAGGGAGGAGATGGAATAGGAAAGAAGAGTATTGAAAACAATCAGTAAAGAGTATTGAGGATTGGGCATGAACTGAACAGATGTGTGAAGAAAAGCACTGAGGGTTTGATAGTTGAAAGAAGAAATTTGGCATGAGGTTTGGGATAGGGAGGATGCCATGAGTGAGTGAGTGAGTTTGGTTTTACGCCACTTTTAGCAATATTCCAGCAACATCATGGCGGGGGACACCAGAAATGGGCTTCACACATCGTACCCATGTGGGTAATCGAACCCGTATCTTCAGCATGACGAGCGAACGCTTTAACCACTAGGCTACCCCACTGCCCCGAGGATGCTATGAGTCTGAGAAGGTTAGCATAGGTGTGTTTGAAAAGGCCTGAAAACATTGGCAAAGGGCAGATGATGAGGATGTATAAATATGGTTGGCACAGAAGAAGTAGTAGGGGACTGAAGCAAGAATCAGCTTTGGACATAGTACCAAACTTAAACAGCTGCAAACACCCAAGAAGAATGTGTGTATAGAATATTTTTGGTAGGTTGATATTTTAGTGATGGAAGGTGTACTAGTTGAACTGATGTCAATTACCTATGGACAGCAACAGTGAAGGAGAGTCAGCCTGTAAGAATCTCTTATTGACATTTCCTGGAAGAACATACTTGAAAGCAAGATAGTCCTTCTTCAAGACTTTGGCCAGGCTAAATGTGGACATATATTGCCAGGAACTAGCCCAGGGGTGTCTTGTATGAAGATACAAACACTCCATATCTCAACTACCAGTAGAAAACTGCCCTGACCTTTGTAAGGTCACAGACTTGGTGGGGTGACCTTGTCTCTCATATAGAAAATCTTTGCCTATGATAACTTGGCAAGTCTAGGTGTCTTCAGTTTCATGTTTGATGAAATTGAAGAGATTGTCTGGTCTCATTTCTTCTATGTTTCACATACAATTTGAATAAAGGTACATTCGAAATAGTTTCATTTCAGAAATAAATGTAAGCATTGGATGGCCTGATTTGTACTGCCGTGATTCATTGGACACAAGTACTGGGTTTGAAACTGTCACCTAAAACTTGTGGTATTGATACAAAGTTACCAAATCGATTTACTTATTTTCTCCTTCACTCTCATGTTCTACTCAGAAATTTGAGTGCAGTGTTAATGTATTTGAAAACTGATGGAAAATCTGCAGATTTTGTGACAATTTTCAATAAATTTGTTGCTTGGTCGTGTTGATCATGAACTCAATCAAGATCATTGTGTCCCACTTTGATGTACTTCTAATCTGGCTAGTTTTCTTGAAATTCAAATCCTTTTGATCAGGTGTTGTCATTTTTAACTAATACTTTCTTCAAACAACATTAGACAGATCTGCTTCAAAGGCAGGAGCGAAGTGGCAGATCAATACCGACTGTCAGAAATACAAGTATGAAAACTTTCAAGGAGAGCTGGAATATTTCAGAAATGTTTATTTAGGATCTGTCCGATGTTGGTCATGTAAAGTGAACCTTCTTATTATCAAAATTGATTGGATGGATCAAAGTTATTGCAACTCTAGCGTGTGATTGGGATACTGAGTGAGTGAGTGAGTTGATATTCATCTTGATGGTGACAGATATTTTGAGAACTGTTTATATAACAGTAATTGCTCCATGTACTCCCTTTAAACATCAGGTGGTCTGTTGTCTGAGATAGCAGAGGATACCACAAATGTTGTCGCATATCTATAAGATTGTTTTCAAGAATTGATACAAATAGCATAAAAGAAGATTGTGAAATGCTGAAAGATAACAGTTATTAAACAGGTTACCATTTTTTTCAATTCTGCTTTTTGCTTGAGTGAGATGTGTTCCTCTTGCAGTCTATGTGTCCTGAATGGCAAAATGAGGGCAATGAAATGTACCAGGTTTTGGGGGTGCATTGCCTTCTGCCAAACATCCCTGTAGGCGGCTGGCTGTCACTATTCCTTCGGGAATGGGAGGCAGCCACTTCAAATCCCTGGGTCCTCTCCACACTCAGGGATGGCCATTTGCCACAGTGGAGGCGAGACCCACCCTCCTTCTCAGGGGTTCGACACACGCCAGTGCCAGTCTCCAGAGAGAAGGCGGACGTGCTCCGTGCCGAGGTTCAGTCCTTACTGGACAAGGCAGCCATCGAGGTGGTTCCGGAAGGTCAGCAAGGAGAGGGGTTTTATTCCACTTACTTCCTAGTGACCAAGAAGGAGGGTTCAGACCCATTCTGAATCTCAGAGGGTTGAACAAGTTAATAGAGGTACCGTCCTTCAGGATGGAGACACTCAGGTCAGTGATCTCATCCGTCGAGACAGGGGATTGGCTTACGTCAATTGATCTCAAGGACGCATACCTCCATGTACCGATGCACCCCGAGTTCAAGAAGTACCTTCGGTTCTCCTTCGACGGGATGTGCTACTAATTTCGTGTGCTCCCCTTCGGCATCTCCACGGTGCCAAGGGTGTTCACCAAACTTATGTTAATCCAGCTCAGTTAGCCAGGTCACAGGGCAGGTGCTGTTACCCATACCTGGACGACTGGCTTCTCAGGGCACTAGGCCAACAGTTAAGCAGAGAATCCACACTGTGTGTGATGGATATTCTGGTGAAACTGGATTATCAACCTCGAGAAATCAGAACTCGTTCCGACGCAGGATCTGGTGTTCTTGGGAGCAAGGTTCAATACGGAGCAGGGGATTGTTTCCCTAGCTCCAGACCGCATTCTCAAAGTCCAGAGGACTGTGTTACAGTTTTCGGAGTCGCCCCATGCGTCAGCCTGAACTTGGCTTCGGTTGCTAGGCAACATGGCAGCGACAGTGGACGTGGTTTGGCGTGCGCGTCTGAGGATGAGACCCATTCAGCAGGCGTTAGCGCAGCTGTGGTCCACTCGCAGAGCTACGAGTCCATACTCGAGAACTTCCCTCTCAGTTCAAACGGACGCTTCCCTCACGCACATGGGGGGGGTGTGTGTTTGTGTGTGTGTGTGTCCTGGGCAACCACTCAGTCTCAGGCCTATGGTCGGAACAAGAAGTCAGCCTGCACATCAATGTGTTAGAATTGATAGCAGTCCGCCGGATGTTCGAGAGTTTTCTAGAATTTGTCCTTGGCCGAGTGATTCGTCTAGAAGTGGACAATCAGACGGCCATGACTTACATTCTAAAGCAAGGAGGCACAATGTCCCCGTCACTTCTTCAGGAGGCGTGGCAGTGGTTACTCGACCGGGGGATATTCAGGATTATCTCCCAGTTGTTCAGGTCATTCCAGGTGGATCTGTTTGCGTCTGGGGTGACGAATCAGATTCCTGTGTTTTGTTCTCGGATTCCGGATCCGAGAGCGATAGACAACGACGCCTTTCAGCTTGATTGGGCGGGCAGGGTACTGTGGGCGTTACCATCAATACCACTGATTCCCAAGGTCCTGTCTCAGCTAGCCGCTCAACCAGCTCGACTACTTGTGCTCCTTGCACCCCTTTGGTCAGCTCAAAGCTGGTTTCTGGTAATCCTCAGGTTTCTGGCTCAGCCTCCTGTACTATTACCTTTTCGACCGGACCTCCTATCCCAGAACGGGCGCCCCACCCGAATCCCAGGATTCAGTGGGTGGTTTGGCCGCTTTCCGGAATGGCCTCCAAGCGAGAGGAATTCCTGCACCAGTTGCAGACACAATTCTGGCTTCAGCGGAGGGATTCGACAAACGTTCAGTATGAGGATAGATGGGCCTGTTATGCGTGCTGGTGTGTCAACAGGGGGATTCTCGATCCCTTTTCTGCAGATTTAGTCTCTGTGTTAGAATTCCTCCAGTCTCGGTTGGAAGCCGGTTTTCACACAGCCTTCCCTATTGGAATGGTCCTTAACTTCTTTTGAGTAGAAGGCAATGTAAGATTTACAGTCTGGAAAAGGGAACAATAAATAAGTACATGATACTTAACCAAATTGTTGTGTTGAGTTATACTGTGATTGAAACTGAATTTCAGTGTTGCTGTGGTAGTCGAGCAGCCTGAGACTTAGAGTCGTTGATGTTTATATTTCAAGACGGGGTTGTTCATCAGAGTGTTTGCCAGAACATAAGGGACTGTGTACAGCTAGCCTCACACCAAAGTATTGTCTCCCAGAACGGTATTACTTTCCTCACTGCTAATATCCATTATTGTCACACTGGCAGGACTTTATTCAATAACTACAGCCTGATTCAGTTTTCACCTAGCTAGTTGCCAAACCTTTTTACACATAGGAAAACTCATTTCTGTGTCCTGTCCTTCATAAGTGTGCTGTAAGCCATGCAGTGATGTCTCTTTTCAATTTTCCATTTGTAATGTGCAATTGAAGCACATTTATCTGACAATGTAGTTGCAATTGATGATTTTGTCGCTCTTTTCAGACACACTTACAGTCGGAGTCCAGGGGAGAGTCCGTGAGTGACAGCGAGTCTGAAGACGAGTTTGGCTACACAACAAGTAGGTAGTGATTATTGCAATAAATTGTCCTGGGCCTCATTTCTCAAAGTGATCGTAGTGCTACGACTGTCGTAAGTCTATGTAAAAGTATGGGAGTTACGATCACCTTAGGGTTACGATCGCTTTGAGGAACGGGGCCCTGGAAATGATTCCATGTTCTTAAGACATGCATTGTTTTCTCTCATGTCGCATTCCTTATGACATTCTTCATTACATCCTTATGACAATACATATGACAATGCTGATAAAGGAATGTCGCATTTGAACTCTTTTTTTTTTTTTTCACTTTATTTCTTTTTCGCACTGGTGCAGTTTTATCCTTCATACACAACACTATTTCAAATACATAGCACAATTAAAAAACAAGCATAAGTGAGATCGAATAGATTATGTAAATAAGTTGTGGCATGATGACCAGAAAGTCGTGAACTTGCTATATTTGCATACAGAGTATGCATTATATTAATGGACATTGTAACTGTGGTTTAATTTGGCTTTGAGTGGTTTAATTTGGTTTTGAACTCTTGACTTTGACTATGAGATGTCAAAGAGAATGAGAAGCTGATATTCTCCTGAAAGAGATTTGATTGGCTGTAAAAGGCAAACTTGGGGTACAGATATTCAAATTGAACATGAATATTAGTGAGGGTAATTATTACAAAGGGTAAGCATGACTTGCCCTACTTAGAGCACATCCCACTTACACCAGTGCCATAACCATTACTTGTTTCCACAAGAGTTATTAACTAATGATAAAATCAAGGTCGAAAGGACGTCTCCATGGCAACAGTTATAGTATGTGGCAGCTTTAAATATGACTCCTTGGAATCCTGAAGCTGTTGGTATTTTTCTGACTTGGCTACATTGTCATTAGATAGACTAAAAAACAAATATCTTCCACTGACATTTCCAAGCTAAAAAGCAAAATGGTTGCAAATTGATTTTTTTTTCATATCATATTTACAAATAAAAATAAATCAAGGGTCAGCTGATTTAGTTGATAACATTTTGCACTTTAATTTTCTGTGTAAGAACCTGTGCTGTAAATGCATTTGAGCACAGGCGTTTGATTGATTATTCTGTCCATGTCAGTCTGACTAAAGAAAGTCTTTTGAAATGATTAAATTACAAAAGAAAATTGAAGTGCTTTAAAAGCTTTTCATTATTCAACAGGTTTTTTTATTACGTTTGGTAAAGTGTAAAGAATTATCACTCAAAATCTTAAAGAGGTACCAAGATCTCAATTTATTATTAATGAATGCTGTTTTCTTTCTTAGAGGAGAAATAACCATATGATAAACAAAATTGTAAAAGTATACAAAAAACTATACTTTTATCTTAGTCTGATGTAAAGCAAGAATAATGGCATCCATATTGTTTTGAGACTCATTTCTGCATGGATCACTGTAAATGTCAATGTGCATAATATATGCAAGAGTGAAAAAAACATTTTTTATGAACACTGCTCTGGCTTTTAACATTCATTTTTCATATGGTTGTCATAGCAACAACATTGATAAGTTTTTGTGTGTATGTTTTTAACTGTATTTTCTGTGGTGTAATTTATGTTACGTTTGTCCTTAAACTTTCTTAAACACTTGCAGACTGTCACATGAGATGCAGAACCTAATGGTTTCATTTTCTGTTTTCTTTGTCAGTTTCTAGATTTGTTCAAATGGTTTTATAACAAGTGGCATACAGTAGTTTAAAACTTTGTCTAGGTGCCAGGTCGAAGGGTGAGCTTCAGAACGTTTTGGTTCCAGTTTGTTTTTCTTCAGCAATTTCATGGTTTGTTCAAATGGCTTTATAACAACTTGTAAGGGTCCAGGTTGTAGGATGAGCTTCAGAACGTTTTGGTTCCAGTTTGTTTTTCTTCAGCAATTTCATGGTTTGTTCAAATGGCTTTATAACAACTTGTAAGGGTGCCAGGTTGTAGGATGAGCTTCAGAACGTTTTGGTTCCAGTTTGTTTTTCTTCAGCAATTTCATGGTTTGTTCAAATGGCTTTATAACAACTTGTAAGGGTCCAGGTTGTAGGATGAGCTTCAGAATGTTTTGGTTCCAGTTTGTTTTTCTTCAGCAATGTCATGGTTTGTTCAAATGGCTTTATAACAACTTGTAAGGGTGCCAGGTTGTAGGGTGAGCTTCAGAACGTTTTGGTTCCAGTTTGTTTTTCTTCAGCAATGTCATGGTTTGTTCAAATGGCTTTATAACAACTTTGTAAGGGTGCCAGGTTGTAGGGTGAGCTTCAGAACCTTCTGGTTCCAGTTTGTTTTTCTTCAGCAATGTCATGGTTTTCTCAGATAGCTTCAAGACGACCGTAGAGTTGTGTTCTACATTGTCCACATACTGCTGTCCCTTGGGATAGGACGAGAAAGTGCAACATGATTGTCTGTGTAGACCTTTAACCTTTACCAAGAAGCTAACTGGGGGAATGATGTATAGACGACTGTATAAATCTCTAAACAGGAGGTATATCTACAGGAGGTTTAATGGAGTGGACTTAAGTCATTTGTAAAGTGACAAGCTGACTGGTTGATGGAAAATCAATAGTGATAGGAATGCCCTCGTTATAACCCCATCAGAGATTATATGTTTAATGTAAGTACATTGGTACCGGACCAGGAGGGACAACGAGACAAGAACACTTTCATAGTCGGCAGGCCGGAGACTGAATGTCTCCTGTTATCATTACCAACTTCTGAAGCAGGTGAAGAGAATTAAATATCTTGGGGAACTTCCTCATTATAAGATCAGAGCTGTTCATTATAAGCTTTGGACAGTGATCCAGCTGCATCAGTGTATTAGACATGCAGATGCTCTTGAACGTTTTGTCGTCACGTAGTTAAAACAGCAGGGTTTGTCAGTTCTTGTTGAAAGTAGGATTGTATTGAAAATACCAAGAGTCTGTTCAGATACTGATCGGTGTCCAGTATACATTCATAGAGTCAGGCAAAGAACCTTAAAATGTATTTGGAATTAGGAGAAATGTGCTCACTTCAGCCAGCTTATATGTAATTGCATGGACTTTTTCTCTTCATGTTTTTTCTTTTTAGTTATTCTCCCACTTGTTTCCTCCTGACATTTCTTTGTCTGTAGATAACTGCCCTGGTTCTGCTCTTCTCACAGATACCACAGTATAAGGGGGTAACAAAATAGTCGGTTAGAAGTCACTTCAAATACCTATAAAGTTATTATTTTGTGGTTTTGATGTTTTTAGGGATACTTTGAATGCCCATTTTCATGACTGTTACCACACACTTGTAACACTTGATATGGTTTCCTAAACCTAAACCTTGTTGCATTACTTTCTGAAATAACATGTAAATCAGGATTGGACATTAGAGATTTTGTCTGTGATCATCATCAATTATAATCTGTCTTGTGTTGACATCCATCCTACTCTGATTGGTGTCCCAGTACTACTGGTCTTCTTTCTACTTTTGGCTTTTCTTTCACATTCAAATTACTCAAAATGTTGATGGAAATATGTTTACAGATATGTTAACCTGAGCTTACTACTAAAGCATTATTCAAGAAATGGGTCTAGTCTTTAAAAATGTTCGTGTCTCGCCAAATGTCATTGGGCACTGAATGAATTGTTTTCATTTGGTTCAACATTGGAGGAACTATTAAGTTGTCAATCAGATAAGGTAACTGACCAGTTGGTAAAGGTTACTGTACTTCAGCTTCAGGCAGTGGCAATTTTAAACACAAGAAAATACCAACTTGGTCGGTTCCTGGGAGGCATTGAGGTCTGATACTTACGTTTGGCACGAAACTCTAAATACAACACATCCTGAGGGTTCCAATTTGGGGATTCAGTTCAGAGAGGTCTTTTGTCTTTTGAGGATTTGGAGGTTGCATCAGACCTTACTTCCAGTAATGTAATAAGGGACACTTGACTTCCTGTGTGGCTTTCAGAGAAGAATACACCTCTAGTGTCCAATGCTTGGCTAATTTATCCAAGTGTGTCTACCCATTCCTAGTGGACCAATGTTTCTCCTGACATACTTGTTAACGTCTGGCTGTTGTACATCTTGCCTTGTCTGACATATCATATGAACTTTGTTTTGATGCTACTCTCTGTTGATTGGCTCCTAAATTAGTGGGCATCTAAAGTTACTTACATAAATGTAAAAGTCGCCTGATTCACATCACACAACAGTGTACTCCTTCACACCTGGAATCTTCATCCATCTTGTCAATTTTGTCTGCTTTCATTTATATGATTGTTTTAGATTAATCTATTGTAGATACATGTACTTCATGTTTTCGCTGTTGAATTTAATTATAATTATTGACTGAGTACTTTTGTAGTTTATTGAGGTATGAATTGAAAAAAATGATGTGCAAACTGTATGAATTCGCATTACAAATTCTTTTCTCTACAGACATTGTGCCCTATTCACCTTCCTCTGGTTTCAAACAAGCCAGATTTACATGATTTTGACTTTCTAAGTACATAAACTACAATGTTGGTCAAACTTACTTTAAAAATATCCTTCCTGTTTTGGGGCGGTTGGGTAGCCTAGTGGTTAAAGCGTTCGTTCGTATCACGTCGAAGACCCAGGTTCGATTCCCCACGTGGGTACAATGTGTTAAGCTCATTTCTGGTGTCCCCCGCCGTGATATTGCTGGAATATTGCTAAAAGCAGCGTGAAACTAAACTCACTCACTCACTCACTCCTTCACTCCTTCCTGTTTTTGTTGAATATCTACTACAAGGTGACCCTCAGGTGGACATTTAAAGCTTTCATCCCTCATCAAACACAGCACTACAGAAACACTGTTTCAGTTGAAAAGCTGAAAGAGAACGTGGGTTTGGAGATTATCAAGTTCTTCTTGATTGTGTTATTCAGTTTCCAGTTTGAGCCAAACCTGCAGTAGAAGCCCTCTATTAATGTCCATGGTTATGAATATGCCATAATATGCCCAATGGAAAGGTCAGACTTTTATAAGGAAATCCAGCATAGACTGGTGTGATGGAGAACTCTCATT